TTAATAGAGTCGATATGAGTGAAATCTTTAAAATGACTAAACGTACCATATATCTTTCAATATTGCCCATTTGAATTACATTTGGTCTTAATTATTTGTAACCAAATAAATTCACACCTTATGGCAATTCGATAAGATCCTAATGTATTGTCATTCTAAATTCCAACTCATCTTTAATGGCTTATTCTCTTAAGGTTGTTGAGTTTTCTCTCTGTAGTGACAATTACCAAAACTTGATTTGGGGAATTGTTCAACATTGTCTTATCAAAACTCCAAATCTACTTTTCAAACAATGACAAGTATAAAAAACATGCATATTGTCAAAAGCAGTATTACGAATCAAATTGATTCATCTTTAAAGACAATGTCTTTAATCTAAATTTCTCCCCTCAAACTCAACATCCTTAAAAGATTTTAAATTTCCCCTTTTAAAAATAATATATTGCAGCACTTAATGTTTCTCCTAAATATACCTTAGTGAAGAAGAATGACTTATCATACTTCTTTGAATGTCATTGAATGTTCTATTCTTGAATTTTGTACCATTTAAATTGCTTATGCAAGATTTTACTGTAAGAGACTTTTACTTAAATTATAGGTTAAATTTTGAATTATAAAATAGACCGAGCTTAATATTTCCAAATGAACAAGCTAACCGAATTTGTACAAGAGAAAATTTAAATCCATCTAATGACGGTACCAAAGGCCTATTTCATAATTCAAAAGAAAACCTAGGAGTCCTCATAGTCTCAATCCCAAATATCTTACATAACCTTTATAGATGTATCTTTCAACATCAATTGAATATTGCTTATGTAAATAACCCTTATATACACACTTACGTGAATAGTGTAACCCAGGATCTATTCACTAAATGTGTCAAGGTACAAAGTCAAAATATATTTTAGAACATATTAAAGCGAGAAACAAGCATAATTACGTTATTCAACGTACCTGAGATGTAAACTGCAATTATAAATATTTATCTTAAGACGTACACTAGTCAAATTAGCACTTAGTCTTTTCTCCCTTAATTATTTATTTTTCGTGTGTACGGTCAAAGTTTTATTCTTTATGTTTTACAACAAACCTTATATTGACCGTTCACGGAGAAAAAATAAATTAAACCATATCCACTTTTAAGTCAGCGAAACCACACTAACTGAAGTGCTATAACTGAAAATGAGATTAGACTATTACTTAATGTGCTTAGTTATGTTCCTTTTCTTTATACCTTATTTAAACAATAGATGTTAAAATCTAATTTGTTCTAGCTTTATCGTTTTAAACTAAAACGTATCCGTACTATCTTTAAGGAACCTTCTAGTACGTAGCCCTAATTAAACCTTATGCCCCCGAAAATTATTTAAAATAGATGCACCTAATGATCTTAAATTTTAGTATTAGAACGATGATATACTCTAGGTTCTTCTATTGTTCTACCCAAAATAAAATAAAATTAAGATCTATGCACCATAATAAATAATAATGATAAAAATATTTGTGCAATTAAGCACAAACGTGTTATAGGCAGATAATGTATAAGCAGATAAAAAAAATGAAATAGAGAACGTAAATAAAATCAATATGCTCACATTATGATCCAAAGTTTGACTTTGAAAACTTTAAATAATTATGGAATACATCTCAAGATGCCTAGCACAACATTAATATCAAGCCGAGGGGACAATAATATTAACTGTAAGTGGCACTCTTGTTGTAGTAATCAAACATTGATAGTAAATCCTGTCAAATAATAAGTCCATCGAGGGATGCAACTATCATTCACATGGAGCCCAACAACCATCACATATTTATTACCACATATGCATATGTGGTTCGGCCAAATATCAACATACCGAGGGGTATAGTTAATATTCGCATGAATTCACATACACACAATCATCTTGACATTCTCAATAAGCTAACCTACGCAGAGAGGTCACGAGGGTGGCTTCATGCTTCAATTAGTTCTTTTAAATGTCAGACAAACTTAATAACAAGTCATTAGATGTACCCAAAAAATTATTCAAAAATTTAAAGTCGTTGTTGAACGCTAAGGTTCTAATGACATCACCTGAGCGCTAACAGGCTGTATCCAACACTAAAGTTGCCTCACTGTATTGTTTTCGAATCAAACTCAGTAATATGGTTATTCATAATAAATGAGTATGAATTGAAAACATCGAATCCATCTTTATTTTGAATTTGAGCTAAAGATAATGTGGGGCTCACAATTCAATCTTATTTAGATAGTGGCCAAAATAAAATTTTAACCAAGAAATCTAACCTTATATGGATTGGAACTAAATTAATAAACTTAATTAGACTTAAATAAAAGCCTTGAGTCAAATATCGAAAAAGTCAATCCTTATTTGGTTAATAATAACCACAATCCATATTTTGACTCGGTAACGATTAATGATAATGGATCAAAACGTTATTGAATTAAAAATTCATTTGTATCCTTAATTTTGACCCAGTAATCAAAAAATTTAAGTCTAAACGGCATAAACTTTATCATCTGAAAAGTCCCCAAATTAGCCTTAGAAAATCGAAAATGAATTTCACTTTATTGACCAAACAAACCCTGAAATGAATTTAAAAGAATTCACATATTAGTTTGGTCCCTCAAAATAATTGAAATGTTTTAAACGGCCCCTAAAACTTTAAATTAACTTTTTATTCCTTAAAAATTGCCTTTGCCCCAAAACCAGAAAATCTTTCAACTTAAACGACTGAATTGAAATTTTGAAAGAAAAGCATTTGAGTGAAAAGGGACCAAAGATCAGAAATACTAAATTTGAGATATATAATATATTTTTTTGAAAAATATATGACTGTTTTGGGAGAAACTTTAAAAGTGGGGACTGAAATGCACTTATCAAAAGCTTTGGGCCCAAAATCAGATTTTCATTTATTATAAATTGACCCCAGCCCAAAATCAGGAATTACCCAAATATGGGGTCAATTTGTAATTTCAGAAAAATGATTGGAGTAAGTTGCAATTTGCTAGAACTTTATCAACCTAATTTTGCCTCTCTAGCAAATCAACCGCCGTCATACAGCCAACTCCACCGCCACCATCAATACCACATACCACCGCCGGAAACACGCAACCCACAATTATCAACGCCGTCGGAATCCACCGTCGGCGCTCCGGCTTCCCTTTAGGCGAATCACGCCACTCGACATCAGTAATAATATGAGCACACGCAATCATTTCACCTAATGGATGCCGGAAAAGAAGCGAAGGGGTTGGTGGTTGGTGGTCGACGACGGCCGATGAAATTGGCGGTAGTGAAAAAAAAACGGTGCAGCAGGCTCGACCTGATGGCCGCCGCCCCAAATTTCAGATTTGGAATTCTCAGATGTGCACCTTAAACCTTACCTTTAATCCAAATAGATTAGACAGATAAACTAATCCGAATTTTCAACCATAAAGGTTGGACCAAAGAAATCGTAAACAACAAAACTAATATCTGTCATATTCACAACTAGTCATAAGCGGAACAATTGAATAAATCCACGTAATTGAATTAAACTTCAGAATTCAGATTTTAATGAAACCCTAATTTCAAAACAAAACTAATGCGATAAAGCAGATTTCATAACATTCACATAAGAAATTCAATTACAAATTGGCAATTCGAAATTAAAAAACTAATTTCAGAACATACTGTATATCACATAAATATCTGGCCGAAACTTTGAAAATTAAATCCATGAAAACATAGATTTCTCATGGTAACAACTTGACGAGAACTTTAACACATAAAATTATCGATGATTCAAAACATGGTGGCTCTGATACCACTTGTTAGAAAATTTTATCGTACATACATACGAATTCCCAAGAACCAACATGTTTGAATCAACGACAATTATACAGAAACATAAACACGGAAGCGTACCTTACATAACGGAATCGAATCTTCGAATCTCCACTGGATTTGGGACAGGTCTTCCAAAGAATCCGCAGTTCCTTAATTATCTCTCTAACGATGGATTTTAGAAGAGACGGAATGGTTGCGTTTCTTTGGGGACCACGACCCTATATATAACTGTAGAGTCCAGTTATATTATAATTGTGATTCAGCCCCATCAATAAATCACAATTAAGCCCTAATTGTCTCTACACATTAGGCCCATAATCATAGTATAATACCCATAAGTCCAACCCATTAATCTTTATTAGATCACAATTAATTTGGACTTTCTTTTAGATAGCCATACACATTTACGTTACATATGTGAGCCCACATAATTATTGAAATAATTCCAACAGATACATGATAGATATGAGTTAAGCTAGAGCTATTTTTCGTATACGATGTGTATCTTCATCTCCAGAATTATATTCAGAAATGATTATCCTCACAAGTTCAATTGAAGTATTTTGATCGAATTCGAGATTCACAAGTCAAAAGAAATATTTTTTTTGATTCGTAATTGGGTCGGGAATGAACCCCCGTAAAGATTTGAGCATGAAGGAACCCGAAATTAAGAAGCTTGGCACGTTAAACTCACCTACTTTAAAAGGATGAATGTATTACGTTTCTTAATATTTTTATACTACATCGGAACTATAGGGCCATTTATGCTCATTACGGGCTTATACTATGCTACACCGGGTGAAATACACCGGGTAAATCTTTACCATTCATATACACACAAACACACACACACACACCCACATTGGTGTGTGTAGATCAACGGTGAAAAATCACCCGGTGTAACCTTCACCGGGTGTAGCATAGAAATAACCCTCATTATTAAACTTGTTGAAGAGATGAAATACAACCCATTTTGCCCTCAAATACTAAATGGTATATTGTATAATGAGTTAATAATGGGTAATTTTGTAGAGTGTAGACATCACGAGTTAAAAATAGTTAATTATTAATCGTATAAATACGTTCATCAATAGCCATTTATTATGGGGAAAATTTGTCAAAACCCCCATTCAAAAGGTGGTGTTATAGTAGGCCCCAAAAAATATTTAGTGTCCGGTAAGGGATGTCCTAGCGGTTGGAGTAAGTGGTTCTGTGTCAATTGACTCAAATTCAAGTTCTCTTGCCGACGGTCACTAGGTCGAGCTTGTCGCAATTAGTGTAGTGTGGTTTACATCTCTTGTATGGTTTGCAAGCTAGTCTAGTGTGGTTTACGTTTCTCGTATAATTTGCAACCTATTATACAAGGGTGTAGGTTTACCCAGTATACATATATGGTTGGCTGGCTGCAGGTTCCTTCATTAAAAAAAAAAAAAAATTATTTAGTTTTTAAGCAAAATTCAAAACGTATTTGACTAATATTTTTTTTGGGCTTTACTGTTATACCCTTAATTTGTAGTTAGACGTATAATTAAGAATTAAATACTCTTTATCTTTTCTTTAATTATCTTACTTTTAACGTAACATTGATATTCCACAAATCTGATTTTTATTTCTCAATTCTGATATTCATCTTCATCTCTAGTCTTTCGCTCACTCTTTTACGCCATAGCACCTGCGCTACCCTCTTGCCGCAGACAAACTCGTGATCAACGTCCTCGTCCTTGGGTTTTGGATCTCGTACTCACAATCAGTGTTCTAAAAATCGACCTATGCGGCAGATTAATCGGTCTCTGAAGTGGAGACAGTTCAAAACCTTTACAATTTTAGTGTAAAGGTTTGAAAAATCGGGTTTTGCGTTTGAGACGATTTTAGGCGGTCTGAGGTGGTCAAACCTTGAAGGCGGGTCAAACTTCGGTGGCAAAAATCGGCCAAAAATCGATTAAAATCAGCTTTTCTTTTCAAAATAAAAGTTGGGATTTAAAAAAAATGAGTTTATACTTTATTTTGTTTATGTTAACTTTTATTATTAAATAACATAATGATGTATGCCAGGAATGTTCAAGAATAAATTCAAATTCAAAAAACTTGCCTTTTTATTTATAATTTATAAGGAATTTATGTATTATGACCTTATTAATATTAAACTTTTATTATGTTATTAAGTTATACTAGCATTTTCCCCCGTGCGATGCACGAGATATTATTTAAATAGTGAAAAATAAATAATCAATTTAATACATAATAAGAAAATATAGTATACTAACATAGTAAAATTTAATAATGTAGTATTATTCATATTGAATTTCTAGCTTTATTTCTTAAGATTTGAGATATATTGATGAAAATTAGGAGATCAATAATTGTTGAAAATTATAGTTAAAAAATTAGTACAGAAAAAATATTAAAAATAAATAATTACATAAGTAGCAATAAGGTAGGATTCTTCACGGGTTAGTTTTAATTTTGATAATTGTTAAAAATTATAGTTAAAAATTAGTAGAGAAAAAATATAAAAAATAAATAATTACAAAAATATCATTAGGATTTTTTTAGGGTTGTCCAGCGTTTCTTTCTTTTATATATAAGATACATGATGGAGACATAATTATGTTTAAATATATTTTTATATATGTTTTGAGTATTTATAAATAATATCTAAAAGTATATTATATTAAATTTTAAAAACTAATTTATTTCCTATTTATCACGATTAATCACCGCCGCATCGATTAATCGTGGGTCGGTGCATAACCGCCTCTGACCCAAGTATCACTTTTTACAACCTTGCTCTCATCCGTATAGGAGTTGTCGCTGATGACGGCAAAGTCAAATCCACTATTGCACATAGTGGATTTTAGCATTTCCATTATTAAATCCACTATTTTGCTTAGAGTGGTTTTTGTCATTTTCTTTAATAAATCCACTATTGTGGTTAGTGGATTTTGACATTTCCATTTTGCTAAATCAACTATTATGCAAATTGGATTTTGTCATTTCCACTTATTAAATCTTACTATGGCGCATACAGTATTAGTTGTGTGGCGAAAGCTTACTTGATGTAGGTAAAATGGTTGAATACAGAAAAATCACTAAACTCGTCATTTTTTTACCGTAAAAGCTTGTGTGATGCGTTGAACCAATATATGTATGTTGTTTGATCTGACGAGAAGAATTTTTTGTCCGAAAATATGCAAATTTTCTTACACTAAACGTGAAGCCATTGTTGCAGTTTTTGGAGATCAAGAGAAAAACGATGAAATGGATTTTCGAGATACTAGGAAAGTTGGTGGCGAGATTTGTGGAGAGATGGAGATTAGATGTGATAAACAAATAACGGGATGACCAACTTGCTATATTATGTACAAATTCATAAACCATCCGACACTAAACTAATTAGAATATTGGGCAAATTACGGCCACCCCTGAGTTATGGTCAAATTACAAAAAAAAAAACCATTTTGTTTGGGTAATTACAGCCACCCCTCAACTATAATAATCTTACGAAAAGACCCCTCCTGAGATAAATTTAGGAATGTCAAATCGGTAAAACAAAACCGAAATTTCGGTACACCAACATTTCATATCGTATACCGAATTTAATATACGGTTTGGTTCGCTAAATAATTGAATTACATAAATTTTATGTAAAATATTTAAAATCAGGGGTGGCTGTAACTACCCAAAGAAGAGGGGTTTTTCGTAATTTGATCATACCTCAAGGGGTTTGCCGTAATTTGCCCTAGAATATTTATAAAAAACTTCAAAACTTTTCATTGGCATTTTTACCACAAAATTCCACCCTATCCACCTTAAGTGAACAATACAGATAAAAACATCTTCGAATGTCAAAAGAGCAGGAGGAATTCACGTTCTTGGGAAAATAATTTAAGAGTGCTTTTATGAAAGGTATTGAACTTCCTCCATAATTGGCCAGTTTGAAATAGTATAATTTTGTTTCCTAAAAAAGAAATTACATAACCTGCAGGTCATTTGATATACAAGTTTAAATATCTTATAATAAATATTTCATTGAAAAAAGTTAGAAATAAATTATAAGGAAGAGCGGTGGATTAAAAATCGAAGAGTATTTGTAAGATTTCATGTATTTTTTATGGTGAATTGAGAAATTTGATGGTAAAAATTTCATCATTCGAAATTAAATAAACATTCACTAAGCACACGTAGAGCTAAACTACACGACGATATTCAAAATTCATGCAGTAAATTTACATAAATGGACTCACTAGCTAACAAATCAACCAACTAACACAACAAAACTCAATTATTTTTTTATTTAGAAAAATCAAATGGCTGAAATCTAATTTATTTTGAAGACAGAGTAGAGTGGAGGAAATTAATTACTCGATGTTCATTTTCCGGCAGAGAGCCGCCGGCGAACGACGGTGGAGAAATTGGCGGAGAGGTTGGAGTAAAGGGCGGCGAGTTTGGAGATATTGGAGTTAATCTCGCGGATCAATTTGACGTTGACGGCCAAATTATGGGGGATTTTGGAGCGGTGGTTGTCGTTGACCTGCCGGATCAGGCGGCGGTTCCGATCAAGCAGCGATTGGACCTCCGCAAAGCTCTTGCTCAGGATTTCCCACGCCTCCGAGTCGCAGATCGACTCTGTTTCTTCTTCTTCTTCTTCTTCTTCTCCGCCGTGGATTTCGCTGGGATTTACGGCGGTGCCATCGGAGATCTGAGAGGAGGATTCCATTGTCTACTGTGAGACGAAGGGGAAGGTTAATTAGGAAACTGTACAAGATCCGTTCAAATAGGCGGTGAACATCACCTTGGCCGATGGCGGTTGCATTTATTGAAAATTAAAAATTAAAAATTTTAAACATTAATATGAAAATTTCAGTTGTTATATATTATTATTCTTTTTATTAGTTAATTGAGGACACCTCCTCTCCTCCAAGTAAAGTTAAATTACAAAAAAAAAAATTAACGATATTCAAATATCTATAAATCAATTATTAATTTCGCCAAAATAATAACTTATCGAAAATTAGTAATTATTAGTTTATACATTAGTTTATTTTAATTTTATGATTTTTTTTTCGACGAATACATTTTTTTTAATTTTTTTTACATATATATTGTTTATTGTACCATTAGTTCAATGTACTATAGAGCGCGTTTCTCAAACGGGAGCTCTTAAAGCAGTATATATTGTTTATTGTACCATTAATTCAATGTACTATAGATCGCGTTTCTTGAACGGAAACTCTTAAAGCGGCAATTGAACATTTTTTTGTGGGGTTATGAAAAAACTATATCAAAAGTTCTAACCATGTTAAGAAAAGTGAGAGACGAGATTGATAGTAATATGAACTTCAACAAAGAACAAACGACAATTAAATCATTTTTTATTAAGTCTTCATAGATCTATAAAATATGTATATTACTGTGTAATTTCAGAATTATTTTTATGTATTATTAATTTATACATTAAATGGGGCTTCTTAAAATTTTTAAATGTGTATTATCTTATCAATTAAGCATTGTTGTCCCTAAACATGGACCGGAAAAAATATATTATCTAAACGAGGTTATTAATTTATTAAGGTTCTACTGTTTATTAGTTTGATTGGGCAAATGTAATTTTACAAACAAAAAAAGGTTTTTTTAAATTTAGACATGCTTTAGGGAGTACATAATTTAAATTTTCTATTTTTTAACTCTTTCCTTTTTTCTCATGCAATTTAGACATTTTACTCGTTCTCTTTAAAAAAAACTGATACAACATGAGTTTGAGAGGGGTGAATAAAATTTCAAACACAAAAGGGGCTATTCTGTAATTTAGCCTTCTCTCGGGAGGTGTTCGTAATTTACCCTACTAAATAACCATGGAAATAAACACCCCATAAATCTATCCAGACATCAAAAGATTGTTTACAACTTTACAACCATCAACTCAGTTGGCATATAATAAGGAAACAAGTTCCTCTCTTACAAGTTGTAAATAAATATACATACATACATCATGTATGTAACTGTGCTCTCTACCTTTACCGCCAACAATTTGTCTACCTTCCGCCAAGAAGTCGGAATTAGAAACCTACCAATGATCAGCATTAATCTAAGATATGTTATTACAGCTACAATCTTCAGCTAATAACAAATGCTTTCACGAAATTCTTACAGCAAGACAAAAAAAAGGGGTAAATCGACTCTTTGCGCTAAAAGGCTATTATTCACTGTCACTGCCAGTATCTAAGAAGCTGAAATCCGTCTGTCCGTCGAGACGTATGAGAAGTGTTCCACTGTTCTCTTCGGAATACGCTATACCTTCTTTCTTTAGAAGATTAATAACCTGCATTTGTGAAACAAATTTGTCTATTAAAACGAAATTCAACGAGTTAAAGTTTAGGCCGTGTTTGGATTGAATGATTTCAAATGACACCATAACAAGCGAATTTCAAATCAACCACAAGTCCACAATAACTTAAAAACCAGTTCAAATTGACGGCGGAGGATTTGAAATCCTATTATATTAATTTATCCAAGGAAGCTCTATTACGGCTAATCAAGAGATAATCAAATTTGTAATTCATTGTTTGGAAAAGATTAAAAAAAAATAAAAAAAAATAAAAAAATAAAAAACGGGAGCCAAGGTGCTAAAAGAATCCTTCTAGACACCAGCATCATTTGCACTCATACATGGAGAAAAATTACCAATTCTAATGTGACGGTGGAAAAAAAAAAAGTAAACCTTACCGAGTTTTTCAGCTTTGACCTGCCAACACCATGGCTCCCACATCCAGTGATAACCCTAAATGATCGCACAGCTACATTTTCCGCGTCAAGAAAAGAAAACATCCTTCAAATATATTAGATTCTGAAATAGTATAAAATCCAGTCGAAAATGGCACAGATTCTTACATTGCACGAATGCTCCAAAGAGAAGATGGAGCTTCAATAGCTTCATTCCTTGTTTAATATGTTGTCCATGGAGATCAATCGTTATCATGTTTTCTATACTTTTGTTTCTGCAGTTTAAGAGATAGGTGCGAGAGCACAAAAGATTATTGACTATATTTGGCTTCGGTTAATTCTCAATATGCAACACCCACCTAGCAGTAAATATATTCTGGCTTGCCTTTTCGTCTGCCTCTCGAGCCATTTTACTCTTTAACCTCCCCTGCAACAATTCAGAGATTATGTCATTAGTATTGCTACGTCAAATTAAGTTTAACCGAGTAATTATGTTCGTTCCGTCTTGTGAACTCAAAGATTTCTGAGAGCGATAATATATAATATATTATATCAGACAAAAGGTAATCCGAAAGTAAGAGAAGCATGCAGCAATTAAGACAATCACAGAAAACAAATTTCTTCAAGAGAAATCACAAGGGTAACAATTACCTACACGGGGTCGTTAATACAAAAACAATACAGAAAACAACGGAAAGCATCATTTACTTAGTCAAGCAACGTAAACTATCTTTGGGGAAGCCATTTTTTTATATAAAAGATTTACAATCTAAGACAATCCTGGGCTCTAAATTACGATCGAACACGCCTTCAGACATCAAAAAGGAATATTATAATTTCCTTGTCTTATACATATCCCCGAGTCTTTTTCTCCCATTCAAAAGAACTCAAATATAGATTCTGATCTGAAGTATGGGAGAATTCCAACCAGTAAAACTAGAAGTATGTTTGATAATAAATTAATTTAGGAGACAGTATTATTTGAAGGCATTTCTGAGACGATCTGGGAACATCAAAACGTGGATGAAGGAATGTGCTGTAAGTTTGTACCAGTGCAGAATTAAAAAACTAATTTGCATCTTAAATTAGAAGGACGAATTATTTGCAACCCCGACCCCTAGGCCCTGGGTTTACATATCAGAACCGCATGAATAAATATAGAATGCGTTCATAACATCACTTAACATGTGATAGAAGATAACAGAAACTCGAGAACTCATCTCTAGAAAAATACCTGCTCAGAAAGGAAAGATGCATATTCTTTCTCACCAGTTGTGTACGCTGTCGAAGCCTGCAGAAAAATCAGCTTTATTCAGACTTACAATATCCCAACGGAATACCAAAAGTATTATCTTATACTTGGTCTACAAACTAAACAACGTTCGCAGAGAAACTACCTTCTGATAGTACGATTTCATTGAATCCCAGTGCTGCTGTGCAGCTCCTCTGAGCACATGATATTCATCTCCATTAGCTACACATTTGAGATAAGTTAAATAAACAATCAGTTAGATATGGCACGTCGTATTACACAAGCCCAGAAACTGGGTGTGGATGAAACGAGAAGCATAAAAAACAAACTACAAGGAGAACCATTGTAAATGACGCTCATATGATTCAATTAAGATAGAGGCAGTTTTCTAATATTCACACGCACATTAAACCAACAAACTCCCAGTATCAGTTCCAACATTAGAAGAATAAAAAAAGTTGTAGTAGCAGCAAATGTTCTACACAGAAACATAAAAGTACAAAGCACGGGTTTATTAGACGCGTTCCAGAAGTAAAATGACAGTTTTCAATTTGTAAGATCATTCGATTAAGATGAAAACTTCAAATTCTATATCACAAAACACGAAATTATGACTTGGCGTTCTCTTTTATCAGAAAATATTGAATTACATGCATGAACTCATGCCTGTCATTAGCTTAAATGTTCAAGATAGAGGCAGAAGGTAAAACTGACGCAATAGAAGCACCAAAGATTGAAGTGTCAACATAGGAATCAGCACAATTAAAGTTTTCACAAGAGAAAATAAGTTAAGTAAAGATACATCAGAATAAGTACCATGACTAAGCTGCCCTTTTCCATTGTTATCAGGTTCAAGTCTTTGACCCAGGGATGTCAATTTTTTTACGACATTTTTCCAGTTCATGGTGTTCGATTGATGTTCAGTAGACTTGGGACTAGGCATATTAAATAAGGATTCCAACACCTTGTGAGGAAGTTCTGACTCCATGTTCCCTGTCTCTGTCGATGGGTGAGATTCAGTGGATTCGGAAATTTTTGAAGGATTCCTGAAGCAATAAAAACAATATATCTATTTAAATTTCTCGGGTATACTTCAATTCTATAGTATCCTAGAGTAAGAGATACAGTATTGCAAATATCACAACTTAGAGTGCCTCTCAGTTTCAGTATACTTAAACTGAGATATACAGTATGTTCAATGTATATTAGTTGAACATACACATCATAGAAAATATTTACTTCATTCTGTCATTTTTCTTATTTAGTTAGATGGAATGATGGATTGTGTTCATAAAATCATTCAATATCCAAATTTTAGCAGCAACCTGTCTTGACCAAATTGATGACACTAACTATGAAAGCATCAGATTAAACAATCGTATGAAACAAATATTGTCCGCTTTCTGGTGATAATTGTATGTTCAATGAGCCTATTTTGGTTTCTGTTCAGTAACAGCCGAAAATTGTAATTTAGACCAATTTTCGTTCTTCAACAAAGTCAAAGTATTATCTGAAAATAAGCCAAAAGAAGTGAAGGGCCATCTACGAAATTAAGTATCAATAATACAGTAGAAGTCTCATGTACAAATCAGTCAGTAGCACAGAATATTTTAAAACAACGTGGTAAATCTTCAAAAAACATTTTACCTGAAGTGAAAGGTCTATTCCACCATTAACAGTCCAAATTCTTTCTATATTTCACTTAGCCTCAATTGGGAAGAAATTGACCTTTTTCGCAGATTTTTCTAATTATTTTTTAGTCATTATCATTATTCATAAACACAGAGTGCCCTTGAACCACTTTGTTAGTCCTCGATTTACTAAACATCAAGTTACCCATTTTTAATAAACTTGGAATAAATTAAATTTTGTTCCCCATTCCTTCTAAAACCAGTGGAGCAAAAAAATATTCAGTATGTGGGGTGTTGAAAGGGTATTATCTTAAGGAAAGGGTGCATTCCATTTTCTCCTATAGAAAAGGGGAATAAGGCTAATGGTTTTTTTTGGTTTAATGGAAAAAACAAACAATCTCTTTGTTTGACATCCTAGAAAACCAAGAAGATGCTTTATACGTGTGCTTCACATTGAGAGGAAGGACTGAATCACCAAGAAGAGAACCTTACCTGTTTCGTGTAAACCATATATTGTCTTGAAGTTCGACATCCGACGACCAAAAATTTGAGTCAGATATTCTGTCAACAAGCTGCAAGACAACAATAACATAAGTAAGATATTTATTACTGAAGGAAATTAGCTTCGACAATCCATTATAATTAGCACTAGTTCAAAGTAAAATCGTTTCATTTTGATTTACATGTTTATTTCTAAATGCACCTTGAAGCCAAAACAGGAAAAGAGAAAAGAGCAATCAAGTGCTATGGTACCAATACATGCCCCAAAACTCGTACGGTGTAGTTTCAGATCAACTTTTGGCGTACCAATCACAAAGCTGAATTCAAGAACAGCTAACATGTGAAGAATAAATAACGGAAAAATAAGTTGATAAAAAAATGAAAAATGGAGATAGCTGATTACAGCCAAAAAAGCCTAATGCTTCTAACATACTTTGTTCAGTGGTTATATCTAATAAACACGATGGGATTTTGTCATCAAGTAACGAAGATTAAGATCACCAACATGTGGCACTAGGGGCCTAATGGTCCACATTGTTCTATAACTTCATCCACATACAACTCCTAATAGTAACCACAATTGCACATGTACGACAAGACAATCCAAAAAATGCCAAACTCTTGGTCTAATTAAGATAAAAATATGGGATTCATTAAAAAAATTATCAAGGGAAAATATTTGAAAGTCAAACTAATGAGCTTAAAACACATGATGCCAGAGGGATGTGAGTGATGCTCCAATAATAGTATTAATTTCTAAAAATTACAATTTATAATATCATATTCCCCATTTTGGATTTCGAGAGATATCAGTTTCATAATGCAATAGTGACCTATCCAGACCATTGGCATGTTATGCTCCAGGAAGCAAGATAGTATGCACACTAGACCAGTAGCACAACAAAACTCGAAAACAATAGCAAAGACAATTAAAAAGGTTTTAAGGATATTCCATCACACACTGGCAAACATCTAAGCTCATTATATGTAGCATACCATGTCATTTGATTCACGAAGATACTGAGCATCTTCTCTCCTAGTACAGTCAAAATAGCCACTGCCTTGCTCTTTTGAGGAAGCTGATAATTCAAGCAATGCATCTAAAGCCTGGAAAATAAATGCGTCAAAAGCCAAATAAATAATTGAAACTTAGGTCCTCTCTTTCCAACATCTTTAGAAGGAAAACACGGTAGTTTCTCTAATCTCTATGAACTGTAGAAAAAGGAGAAACATAAAAAAGGAAAACAAAACTGTAGAAAGTCTATGCATCACTTTAATACTAATATAACATATATTTTAACAAATGAAACATAGCAGATACAAGTTGTAATACTTTTTTTACGCCCATAACATGCAAAACACAAATTCTAGTTAATAATTCATCATTGCTACTCCTAAACAAGGAACCTATAACTCAGTATAAACCGAAATCTAAATCAAAAACTGATAAAACAAAATCCTAAAGTGAAACGAAAAATTTCCATGATCAAAACCAATTTGAGTTCAGGCACACTAACAATCAACAGCCGTAGCCCACTCATAAAGGAGCGAACATAAAACTAAGTATTTTATATAACCATTAATGTAAATGTAGCAGCAGTACTTTTGATAGGATAATCAATAGTTACAGTTAATTAAGCTCTGTTGCCGTCCGTCTCGTCTAGGGGATTTTTTTTCATTTGATTATTTTTTCCTCACATGATCATATTACAGCTTAATAATGCGCTCATACGTATAGTTTCCCAAGAGCCAGGCTTTTATCTTTATCAGTATTCGTCAAAATCTCTTCTCGTGTTATTTATTTGGCAAACTAAAGGTCTTTCAATGCAAACAGAAGCTATAAATGATAGGAAAAAGGACAACACATATTGCTCTATAAACACCTTGATCATTTTAAATGGTGTGCTTTGACAATCTTAGATGAATGGATATAATACTAATATTCATTCGAAAGAGTTCGAGCAGCCACAAGATAAAAACCTTAAACTAGCAACACGCCAAAGCTCATGTAGTTTCTACAACATAACAATTAAAATAAAAAGGAAGAAGAAATATTAGTGCCCTTACATTATCTATGTTATATCCGCATTGACCTGCAAAAAGTAAAGACGATCTCAAGTCACAAAAAGCCCAGAACTATCCACCACATAGAATTCAATACAAGTTTACCATCTACAACCCTGTGAAATTGTGCATTTTTCGTTCTAATCAAACATCGTCGATTTCTTTTTTACACTTTAATTAGTAATTATTCAATGGAAGCAACCCTAGGATATAATAAGGTACTTAATACATTCCTGTTTCCAAAATAACATAGACCCTCCGTTATATATCTTCGGCTCAAATTTTTAATACCTTTACCCATCTAAATTTACTGTAATGTTTATATCAAGAATCTCATATTAGAAAATGCATAAAGCTACCCCACCCCCAAGTAAATAAATAAAGAAATCCAAGAATAGCAAGCTCAAATAATGATATGGAAAACCGTAAAATAAGATAAGAGGCAACGTACACAATACATCACTAACTAAAGCCAAGCTTAATTCACAGTCATCACCAAGCATGGAGCACAAGAACTGTTCAGCTTCCTCCTTGCTCCAACTCTCCTCATGAAAACCCTTCAGTTTCGACGAACCCTTCTTCGAGACAGACCTCACGTAGTCCTTCCCCAACATCGCAGACACAGTGCCCGCGGACGCAACGACTTTCTTCGACTTGTTCTTCTGCTTAAACTCGTAACCAAACACATCCGACGCATTCGAACTGGAGCTCGAACCCACATCGTAATTCCCACTAGAGCTCGAGCAAGTCGTGCTCAGATCCTCCATCGCTTCGACCTTCGCAAGTATCTCCGCAGCCTTGCTTTCGTCCCCTTTGGCTTCTCTGTATGCTGAAGAAACTTCCTCCACCGACAAAGTGACGAAAACCTCCAGCAAATTCTTCAAAGCCCTCTGCTCCTTCTGATCAGCGGTTTGGGCGTGATTTTCAGTATTACCCTTTCTAGAAACCCTCGATTTGTTCTTCTTCTTTGCTTGCTTCATCTCTCGAACTATCTAAAATTACAGATTCACACAACTATGGAGGAATTTATCAATCTGTAACAACACGGTATGCTGTATATTTACATCTAAAAGCTAAAAGCTAGTCTGAATCACATCGGTAGCAGCAGATGAACCAATTCAGGTATTCCTTTTTCTCCTCTGGTATGAACTGTGTAGAAATCAAACAAAAAAAAAAAACTAAAACGAAAAATTGGGGTCAACGTGATTTCCTTTCCTGAAAGGGGAAACTTCAACGGGAAGAACAAAACAAAAGGTGAAATCGCAAATCGGGGATTTCAATTCGAAAAAAAAGTAGTATAGAATAAAAATCCCCAATTATGAAAATTTGGATCAATGTGAAATTCGTTTTCCTTTTCATGAAAGGAGCCCTTTTATTGCGCAAAAGAGAATCTAAAAGGTTGTGGTCGGGAGAAATTAGGTGAAATTTGATGTGTGGACTAGATTGAGAGATTTTATTGTTTTCTTCATTTTTTTTTTAATTTTATCCACCCGGTCCCGACTCGGGGACAACGTGCTAAATTAATAATTCGCTAAATTTATAAGATAATACACATTCAAAAAATTTAAAAAGCCCCATATAATATATAAATTAATAATGCATAAAAATAATTCTTAAATTACATGGTACAGTACATATTTTATACATCTATAAATGCTTAATGCAATATAATTTAATTGTCGTTTGTTTCTTGTTGAAGTTCACATTACCATCAATCTCGTCCCTGACTTTGCTTAACATGGTTAGAACTTTCGATATAGTCTTCTCATAGCTCAACATAAATTGTTCACCATTGCTGCTTTAAAGAGCTTCTGTTCGTGAAACGGGCTTTGTAGTGCATTGAACTAATGGTAAATGAATAATATACACGTAAAAAAATTAAAAAAATATGTATTTATTGAAAATAATAATAAAAATAATTTCATAAATTAATAAATTATTAATTAATGTATAAATTAATAATTATTAATTTATCGATAAGTTAATATTTCGCTAAATTAATGGAATTTTGATGGTCCAAACTGTATTAATTTATAGAAGTTTAACTGTATTTTGAATTAGTAGAAATTTAGGATTATATTGAGTAGATAATTAATTAAGTTTTCTTTATAGGGGTTAGGTTGGGTTTAAACTTTAATGTTAAGAATATCTTAATGGAAAAATTAGCAAGAAACCCCAATCTATAAAATGAAAGGAAAATTACACCCACATTCCTGATGTATGCTTAAATAATTTTAAGGTCTCTGTAGTATCGATAATTACATTTACCCCCTGAAACGTAGTTAGAAACTCTAATAGGATAATACTTTGGATACATTATTCTGATAGGGTTCTAATGGACTATTACTTTTAACCAATGTTTTTAAAACCGGACCGGACCGGCCGGTCCGACCGGTTCAACCGGGAACCGGAAGCCAGTCCGGTCCGGTTAAGCATGAAAACTCGGATGCTCCAAAAAACCGGTCGGAAGGCGAACGACCCGGAAAACCGTCGGTTGAACCGGAATATCCCGAACCGGAAAAAACCCGGGTTTCGTCACTAACTGAAATTTTAAGACAATTAATTTATAGATCTGACTGAGTTTAAAAAAAATGTATATAGATCTGATTAGCAAGATGATAGAGAAACAAGAAAAAAAGAAAAGTCAGTCAAGTTTGCCGCTGAAATAGACGAAGGGCTGTTGCTCCGATCTGGATATAAGTTCTACAATGGTTGAAGAAAGAAGAAGACGAGATGGAGGAGGAAAAGAAAAAGAATTTGGCGTGGGGTAGGTGGCTGGGGTGCTTTGGAGTTTGTGATGTGTCTGTTTTGAGAGAGAGAGGAATTAATCATATATGAAAAAAAAAACAGAATATAGGTATAAATAAAAACTATTTAAATATATTAATAAATTTAGTTAATTAAATTATTTCTTTTTTGTAGATGTTCAATAAATTAATTCAAAATTAGCTTAATATTATTGTATTGAATTTTTATGACGAATAAATTTATTAAATTATATTTTTTTAAAGATAATAATATTATAATTATTCACAAATAATTCAAAATAAAAAATATTCAAAAACCCGGTTGGACCCCGGTTGAACCGGTTCGACCGTGACCCAGTTGACTAGCCGGTTCAATGTCCGGTCCGGTTTTCAAAACATTGCTTTTAACTACTAGTGGAGATAACATAGAGTTATGGGGAGTTATGGGGTGACATGGCTCCCCCAATATTTCTTAAATCACTCATAACTCTTTATTGTCTCTACCACTTCCTGAAACCATGCATTATTCCATTAGAGTTTATAACTACGTTTCAAGGGGGTCAGTGTAATTATCGATACCACAGGGACCTTAAAGTTATTTAAGCATACCTCTGGGGTGTGGGTGTAATTTACCCTAAAATGAAGTTAAAGAAAACCCCTTTTCAAAAAATAATTAGAGAAAACTCATTTAGCTAATATTCGAGTCAAATAATATTATCATAATTCCAAATTACCCTTATTTGATTATAACTATTTTAACCCTAATTTTTTTATTACATTTCCAACATTTTTTTCCCTTTGTGTTGTTTCTTCCGCTTCTCTTCTCAATATTTAGATCTCAGACCTCTATCTCCACTCTCCGCCACCACCATGGCCTAAATCACGAACAACTTCTGAAAATCCACGGCGGAGACCATGGCGACGACGAGGCTGAGGATCCCGCGCTCGCGAATACCCCAAGTAGTGTTCCCATTATCCACAGTTTCTCGAGTTTGCGAGATTTCTTCTTCGTCGCCCGCTGTTGCGTCCTTGCTTTTTCTTGTATTGGGTTTGGATGGCTTTGTTTTGGTAGTTTTGTTGGTGGTGATTTTGTTTGGGTTCGTGGTGCGGGTTGTGATTTACTTTATTTCTAATTAAAATTGTCGGAATATGGAAATGGGGTAGTGATGGTATAGTGTGGCGGCAGCGTGGTGACGATGAGGGGTCGTTTGTCAAAAATGATTAAATGATGAAATTGGGTTAAATTAGAGTGTAATATAATTTTAGGGGTTTTTAGAATATTTTAAAAGAATGCAGGGGTCTGAGTGCAATTTTTTCAATGAAAAATTACAAATTCAGCCATAATTCAACAGTTGACCCTATTACTTCTTGACGGTCAAACAGACAGAGGGACTCAATATGTTAAAATGTGACAACATTAGTGTGTATTTTGTTGACAGCGGAACCAAAAATAAAAAAAAATGTGCAAACTTGAGGGTAGAAAATACAAAATTCCCCTATTTTTAACAACCAATGCTCGAATTTTTGATGGTGTTAAAAAACACTATGCAATTACACTTTTGCCCTTACCATTTGTATGGTAACGAAAAGCCTATTGAGTTGATGATTTCTTTCTTCTAATTTTGAAATCGGCGGCGGCGGCGATGATGATGATGATGATGATGATGATGATGATGATGATGATGATGATGATGATGATGATGATGATGATGATGATGATGATGATGATGATGATGATGATGATGATAATGATGATGATGATGATGATGATGATGATGATGATGATGATGATGATGATGATGATGATGATGATGATGATGATGATGATGATGATGATGATGATGAATTGATTTGATTTGGGGAAGGGATTTGGAGGAGGAATTTGAAATCACTTCAATTGGAGTTATTTGAAATTCACCACAATTGCTAAAAAACAATTAAAATTTATCATTCCGAACAAGTCCAAGGGATTTATTATTATGGATGTGACCCTTCTCCAAAAAAAATTATATTTTTTTAATTTTGTTTCATTTTTATTTTTATTTTTAGTTTTTTATTTTAAATTAGTTTTTCTTAAATCTTAATTATATTTTTCGATTTTTGCCTGTGGGTCTATTACAAATAAGCCCATCATGACATACTTATTCATAAATGGGTCCAGACAAAAAACTCTTTTATAAAAAAGTACACACATTGTCCATATGTGTGTAAAAACTAAAGGGCTAAATACAGTTTCCACCCTTAAAGTATAGGGGTGGTAACACTTACCCCCTTAAACTTACAAATGTAACACTTACCCCCTTCATTAATGAATTTAAAGGTAAAACTTTGACTTTGAATGATGTGGCATTTTTTCTTCCCAAATTGTCCTTCTGGTAATTTTGTCATTTACATTAATTTTTCCTTTATTTATAATACATATTAATTGATGAGATTATTGGCGAAAGAGATATAACCCCTAACCTAGAATAATAAATGGTCAGGAACTTGTAAAAAAAAACGGGTAAAATTCATTTTAGTCCCTGAGCTTTGAAGTCAAAATCAAATTCATCCCTCAGTTTTTCAATTTGTTTAATGTCATCCCTGAATTATAATTTCACCGCCAAAATAATCATTTTTCACAAAATGCCCACATTACCCCTTACAAAACCTGGGGGACTGAAATGAAATTCAGCCATAATTCCCATTTTTAGTTTTTTACTGAATACCTCAAATTAAATTTAGGATAAATTTCACTTTCCTCCCTTGTACTTTGGCTCGATATCACTTTACCCCCCTTCTACTCTCGATTGCATCGATTTGCCCCCTGTACTTGAAAAAATATCTCAATGTGGCCCTCGCCGTTAGTTTTCAGACGTTTTACCTTAACACCGTTTGATCTAAGTTTGAAAATTACAAAAAAACCACCCCTCCTAGTTTAAATAATTATTAAAAAAATTAAAAAAAAATAAAAAATAAATTGCGGCTGGCGTTGTGAACTATGTTTTCTCGTTGTCCTGAATTTATTTATTTATTTATTAATAATTATTTAAACTAGGAGGGTGGCGTTTTTGTAAATATCTTAGCTGAGATCAGACGATGTTAAGATCAAATGTCTAACAACAGCAATGGGGTAAATCGATGCAATCGAGAGTAGAAGAGAGTAAAGTGATACCGAACCAAAGTACAAGGGGAACAAGTGGAATTTACCCTAAATTATATTCAATAATATTTTCCAGATCTTAAAACTTATTTTCTCTCATTAATCCAAACAATATAAAGAAAAATACACACAAATATTATTTTATTTTTCAAATTCTTGTGCAAAGA